CCTTGAGTTGTCTAATTGGACATGCTTCTTAATCGAATGATATTAATTTAGCTTAGACAAATCCTTTTGGATTAAGCCACTTTTCCATCCTGTGGTTAAAAAGATGTAGCAGAAGTTACTTTAATGGACCAGAGACTTAGCTGAGAACAGAGGAGTTGGAACATAATAACTCTATCCCTAACTTGAGATTCTGAATTTTTTATCCAGTCATTAGGAGTGGTATGTGAAGCACAGTACTCTCAGAATTGCATGCGTGTGGGTTTCAGGCTAAGGTCGACTTTGGTAATCATAAATCATCTTTCTTCTATGAATACAAATGCCATCTATTATTTCAGTTCTTTTATGTTTCTGCCTGCCATGATTTTTTTCTTGAATTTGATCTTAGTATTTGATTTTTTGAGAAGTGCCACTGTTTGTTGGTTAATGTAGGAATAAGGACTGAATTAAAGCTTTAGTGTATTTTAGAGTGATAGTCTTCAACCAACGATTGGATTTTTATCTACTGGAGACTACAGAATAGAATATAAAATAATGGAAGAAAAATTAGAAAACAAAGAATTGAAAATGACAAACTAATTTTAGAGTGAAATACTGAAATAACTAACTACTATGAAGTACTATATAAAATGGTAAATGTTGAGATTTGCATAAACATTAATTTGGCTATTTTATTCTGTTCAGGTAAAAAGGCAAAACAGAAGTTTAAGTTCTTTTTCATTGTTATTTCATTAGCTTTTATTATCAATTATGATCATCAGACCATTCTCACACTGTCTACCACTAATCTACAGTGAAGTACTAATTGCCAGAAAGCTGGTTGTATTCCATTATTTTTAACAATGTATGCTGTCAAAATAATGAAATATTCATCTTACTGCTTAACATGTAGGTGGCTGCTGTGTATCGCAAATCTGTAAGGTTAACGCATGAGGGTCGCAAGCAGTTCCCATCCGGAAAAATAACAAACATGATTACAACCGATGCGAATGGACTTCAGGTATGCATAAATTATGCTACATTTATCCCTACTCTCAGTGTCAAAATCTTTCTCCATTTTCTTCCAAATATTGAATTGGGTATGTGCTATGTTTGTGGAAATTTTATTGGTCCTTCATTTTTACTGGACAAATATTTTCCATAGATGCACATTCATTTACTGGTCCTTCATTTTTAAAATGCACATTCACTAAGGAGTTCCCTTTTGATTATTCACTTAGGAGCACCCTTTTGATGTCATGATTCAAGTTTGAACAACAGGACTGAACCCATTTAAGTTTTAAGTGTTGAGTTTAGTTTCTGGACAGACTCTTAATTAGAAGAACATTACTCCTAGGACATACTTGAAAGCACCCCAGAATTTTGCTAGTCTTTTGAAAAGAAAATAGCATTCATGTATGTGTGTGTATTTGTTTGAAGACGTTCAATATAATTATGTGATTTGTATAACTAAGTGCATCCAGTTCTTAAAAAAACTGGGAATTACTGTTGAATAGGGATTTGTTGCATGGGATAAATAGCAAAGATGATAAATCTCATTATTTTATGTGTGCCTTCGACTAGGAATCTCTTGAATTCTGCATCAGCATATAATAGTCATTGTATGGAATTTAGAGAAGATAGCATATGTAATTTAGTAAAACAAGATAAATATTAATTCTGAAATTTCATGTAAAACATTACTTCATGAATATGCAGTAAAGTCAGCTGATGTGAATCTTAAAATTTTCAGCAAATATGCCAACAACTTCATGTTTTGTGGTCAGCTCCATTTCGAATTACTATTGCCATAGTTCTTCTATACCAGCAATTAGGTGTGGCTTCACTTCTTGGTGCTCTTGTTTTAGTCCTGATGCTCCCTATACAGGTAAATGCTGCGCTCCTGCCTTTTCAATGAGTAACATACTATTCAACATTTCACTTTCTCATTTAATCCTTTTTAGGTTTCTATATTTCATGTACTCATATGAGACATTTTGTATAAGCAGAGGTTATTTGATTGTTTCGAGTTTTGATAGTATATCTTTTCTAATATCAAACATTAAATGATTTTTCTACTTTGTTCTAATTTTACAGAATTCAACAAAGTTGTCTAACTATTTGTGAATAAGTATACTTAGAACTGTATTATTGATGATGAATACTGTACAGAAGAATACATATATATACAAACTAAGGAACCTATTTGAGAAGACATGACTCTTAATAGAAGAGACATGTTTTCCAACACTCCCCCTCAAGCTGGAGCATATATGTTATGTGTGTTGAGCTTGTTACAAATATATTTTATTCTAGGACCTCTAAGTGACTTGGTAAGGATATCTACCAATTGATCACTGGAGTTAACATGGCTTGTAGTGATCCACCCTGACATAATCTTTTCCCTGATGAAGTGGCAATCAATTTCAATGTGTTTGGTTCGTTCATGAAAGACTGGATTCATAGCAATATGTAGGGCTGCTTGGTTGTCGCATATCAATGTCATTTTTGTAAGATCACAGTATCGTAGTTCTTGAAGTAAGTGCTTTAGCCATATGAGTTCACATGTAGCAAGAGCCATAGCATGATATTCAGCTTCTGCACTAGATATGGCTACCACATCTTGCTTCTTGCTTTTCCATGAAATCAAGTTACCCCCAATGAGAATACAATATCCAGGCGTCCGTCAAATGGAGAACCTACCCAATCAGCACCAGAGTATCCAATGATTTGAGTGTGACCTTTATCTTCATAAATCAGCCCTTGGCCTGGTGCCTTCTTGATGTATCTCAAAACTCGAATAGCAGCATCCCAGTGATCAGCACAAGGAGTTTCTAAAAACTGACTTAATACAGTTATTGCAAAGGAGATATCTGGGCGTGTGATTGTGAGATAGTTCAATTTCCCAATAAGCCTCCTGTAACTTTCAGGTTTGGATAGTGTCTTACCTTGATTGGGAAGGAGTTTGACATTTGGATCCATAGGACTATTGATGGGTTTACAATCAAGCATCCCAGTTTCTTCAAGAATATCCAAAGCATACTTCATTTATGAAATAACCCACACTATTATAGGATTGAGCTACCTCAATTCCAAGAAAATATTTCAACTTTTCCAAATCCTTAGTTTGAAAACTTTTAAAGAGATATGCTTTCAACTTGGATATGCCCTCCTCGTCGTTGCCAGTAATCACAATGTCGTCCACATATACTATAAGGTAGATACACTTTCCCTCCATCGAGATTTGATAAAACACAGAATAGTCAACTTTACTTTGAATCATTCTAAATTCACTGATAACTGTGTTAAAACGACTAAACCATGCTTTCGGGGACTGTTTCAATCCATACAGAGATCGTCGAAGTTTACAAACCAAGCCAGACTCCCCTGAGCAACAAATCCAGGTGGTTGCACCATATAGACTTCTTCGTTGAGATCTCCATGTAAGAAGGCATTCTTAATGTCTAGTTGATATAAAGGCCAATGACTCATAGCTGCTATAGAAAGAAGCAATCGAACAGAGGCAATTTTAGCAACAGGGGAAAAAGTATCTATATAGTCTAACCCATAGACTTGAGTGTATCCTTTAGCCACAAGTCGAGCTTTAAGACGATCAACTTTACCATCTAGACCTAGTTTCACAGTGTAAATCCATCTTCAACCAATAACAGATTTACCAGGAGGTAAAGGAACTAATTCCCAAGTGCCACTGTCATGTAAAGCCTCCATCTCAGTTAACATTGCTTGCCGCCAGCTAGGATCAGAAAGGGTTTGATGGGTTGTTTTTGGAATAGTGACAGATGATAAATGTGAAATAAAGGCAAAATAAGGAAAGGATAGACGATCATAACTTAAGAAGGTATATATGGGGTGGGGGTTGCGAGTAAAACGTATACCTTTTCGCACAGCAATAGGTGCAGTAGATGGGTCATCCTCAGATTGAGGTAGACCTAATGTAGGAGAAGATGATGTGGCGGTGGAGTCGTCAGGAGTCTCTGGAGAAGCAGTATGAACAATAGGCACATTGGGCCTAGGGCGACGGCAATAAACTTGTAATGGATGAGGGGACTCAAGGATATTTTCACAACTAGACTGTAGGTTTATAGGACCAAAATCTGGAATGGGGAGGAGTTCAGTAATAGTTGTGTTATCTAGTGATGTAGGTGGGAAGTATGAGGAAGACTCTATAAAGGTGACATCAGCAAAAATATAATGACGATTGCATTCTGGAGAATAAGAACGATAACCTTTTTGCAGAAGTGAGTACCCCAAAAACACACACTTAACAGCTCTAGCAGAAAGCTTAGAAAGACCAGGGGACATGTCATGGACAAAACAAACACTTCCGAATATCCGAAGAGAAAGGGGAAATAATTCTTTGGTGGGATAGAGGATGGAGTAAGGAATTGTATTGTTAAGAACTGATGAGGGCATCATGTTAATGAGGTAACAGGCTGTGAGAATAGCATCTGCCCAAAATTTGTCTGGTACATGATTATGGAGTAACAGGGTACGAGCTGTTTCAACCAAATGGCGGTTCTTACGCTCTGCAACCCCATTTTGTTGTGGTGTATAGCCACAAGAAGATTCATGTAAGATACCTTGGGAGGTCATGTCATATTTATGTGCAGTAGAAAAGTATTCAGGGGCATTATCACTACGTAGAACATGAATAGTTTTGTTAAATTGTGTGTTGACTTCTGCACAAAAATCTTTAAAAATTTGGAACAACTCGGAATGATTTTTCATTAAGAAAACCCATGTACAACGGGAATAATCATCAATGAAAGTAACAAAATAATGAAATCCCAAAGTAGAGGTGACCCGACATGGACCCCAGATATCTGAATGAACTAAATCAAACAAGGATGCAGCCCGATTGTTAACTCTTTTTGGAAAAGATTGACGAGGTTGTTTTCCAAGATGACATGACTCACAATCTAAGGATGAAATATTAGATATACCAGGAACCATATGTCGAAGTTCGGATAAGCTAGGATGACCTAAGCGAGAATGAAGAAGATGCGGAGATTTGGTGGACACACATGCAACTAGTGGCGGAGGTTGTAGGTAATAGAGACCTTGCGACTCATGCTCGACGCCAATCATCTCCCCCGTGTTGTGGTCCTGTACAACAATTGAGTCAGCAAAGAAAGTAACATAACAATTTAGGGAACGGGTGAGTTTGCTAACTGATACAAGATTAAAAGGACTATTGGGAACATATAAGACATAATCTAATGGTAAAGATGATGAAAGATTTGTTTGACCAATTCCAGAAGCATGTGTTGTAAGACCATTGGCCAAAGTAATCATGGGTAAAGTTTGAGACGTAGAGAGATTAGACAAGAGATTTGGATTACCAGAAATATGGTCGGATGCACCTGAATCAATGACCCATGAACTAGAAGGATGGGATTTAGAGACACAAGCGAGAGAGGTAGTACCAGGAGGTGCCACAGGGGTAGCTTGTTTTGAAACTTTGAACTTGAGATAGTCTTCATAATCAGTAGGGGACATAGTAATCTGGAAGTCGGATGTTGTGGCTTGAGCAACATGAGCGAATTGTGGAGGTCTACCATGCAACTTGTAACACCGGTCCTTGATATGACCAACTTTGTGGCAATAGTCACACCGAGGATGGTTTTTGCGTGAAGCTCCACCACGATCAATATTCACAGAATCCTTATGAGTAGATTGTGAAACCAAAGAAGAGGATTCACCTGTAATTTTCATGTTGGTTTCACCAGGTGTAGGGGAAACCCTCAGAAGCCTAGCAAATGTCTCAGATAGAGAGGGAACAATGGGACTTGACAAGATTTGATCCCGAACATGAGACAAGTCAGGACGGAGAGCAGCCAGGGTAAGAACCATAAAGAATTTGTCTCGATGCTGTAATTGTTCTTCCACAATAGTGTTGACCGGGAGAAGTGTGTTGAAAGTCTCTTTCAAGGCTTCAATTTGACCAAGAAACTCCGACATTTCCATGTGTTGCTGCTGAAGCCCAACAATATTGGAAACCATAGAATATAATTGTTGAACATCATTTGTGTAAAGAGACTTCGCTTTGTCCCATACTGCCTTGCAAGTTTCATAAGCCGTATATATATATATATTATAAAGCTTAGGATCAATGGATTGCCACAACAAATTACACAGCAAAGCATCTGCCTTCTCCCATTCTTTCACATTCTCAGTAATTTCACTCAGATTCTTGGTTAAATGATCTGACATACCTTGACCCTTGAACCATAATTTCACAGATGCAGCCCAATCAGAGTAGTTTTCATTCCCTTTCAACTTATGCATAGTGATGGCAGGATAGGTTGTAAGGGTGAAATTTGAATAAGCCATATGGACAGATGGAAAGACCAAAGAGTGCTGAACACACAGTTGTAGGTAGCCGGTCGCCGGTCAACAGTCAACGCCGGTCATCCGTCGTCGGAAGCGGAGAAAACTGTACTGGTAGGGTCGTGTCATGACCCTAAGTATAGAAGAGGAATACATGAAGAAGAGAGAAGCCACTCTGATTCAAAAATAAACTAAGTAAGAAAAGTCGAGGACTAAAACGACGGCGTTTGGGTGTTATAATAGCCGTTGCCACTTAAACCAGACGACGTCGTAGGAAGAAGACCGTTGGAGACCCTTTTTAAATAAAAGCTGAACGACGTCGTATGAAGGAGGGCGGTTGGCTACCTCAGCAAGGATGATTCTGGAATGAAGATGCAGAAGAGGACAAAAGCGAGAAATGCGGAGGTGGTTAGGATGGTAGCAGCATTAGCTTTTTGGGATATATTCCAGATTATGTAGAGGATATTTTTTTATGCTTTTTGTATGTTGGAAATGAACTTTCACAAACCCTAATTTCTTTTCCTAAATTTCTCCTAGAACCCTAAATCTTCTTCTTCTTTCTTAATCTTTTCCTGTGATTTTGTTATTGAGTTTGGAGGATCGTGACATTTGGTATCAGAGCTCCCTTGCTGGGCTACAATGGTGACTAATGAAGAGAGATTTAGAGCATTGCAAGAGAAGCAGACTGAGTTTGAGGCAAGATTGGAGGCCAGCAACCTTGAGCAGAATACAAGGATCACAGCTGGGCAGCAACGCATGGAAGACTCTATCCAAGAGCTTAAAGCTCATATGGTGGAATGGAAAGATGAGATCATGGAGCTTTTGAGGCTAAACAGACCACCCCCACCATCCATGGATCAACCTTCAGTACATGGACAGCCCCCACCTCCTCAACATAGCCCAGGAGAAGGGAGTGTGGATCCGGGAAGAAGGCCTGGAAAAGAGCATGTGGGTGGAGGACAAGTGGAGGTGGAAGAGGTCTCGGATGAAGAAGATGGATTACCAGGGCATCACTTTGGTTTCCAGGAGGTTCCTGGAAATGTAGCAAGGCCAGGAATGGCTAGGAGAGTACAGTTTGGAGCCAGAGCAGGCCACCACAACCCAGGGGGTGATCAAGGATTGAGGTATAAGCATGAATTTCCTGTTTTTGACTATGAAAATCCCAGGTTGTGGGTAGTTAGATGTGAAAGGTTCTTTATGCTAGCTAGAATTCCCAGGGAGGATGTTATGCATGTCTTGTGTATTAACCTGACTGGTAAGGTGGCTCTATGGTATGAAGGGTACCTTAATAGCCTAAGAGAAGGTTTTCAGTGGCCTAACTTTGCAGGTGCTTTGTGTAAAAGATTCTGTGAGGGCAGTATGGATGTAATGGAAGAGTTCTCAAACTTTAAACAATGGGGAAATGTAGTTGATTTCTCTGACAAATATGAGGAATACAAAGGTTTATTATTGCAGATTTACCCCTATTTGACAGATCAATACTTCTTAGACAGCTACATTGTGAGATTAAGGCAACAGCTTAGATGTTTTGTTAGAACATCCAAGCCCACTACATTGGAGGATGCTATTTGGCTAGCCAGACAATTTGAAAAGGGGTTAAAAGTGAGTGAATCACATAAAACCTTATCCAACCCTACCCAAAAATCAGCCTACACTACCCAGAGAAACCAATCCTATTCCAGAACTCTTAATCCCAAAAACTCAGAGCCTAACAGACCAAAGAACAGCCAATCCTCTCTCAAAACCACAGCCTCTAATACCCCACATCTCACTAATCAATCACCTGAAGTTAGTAGATTCAAAAGCCAACTAAGAGAGCAAAATAGATGTTTTAAATGTTTTGAGCCTTGGAATCCTGGCCACAAATGCAGAGGTCCAACCTTCAACATCATTGAAGGAGCTGAGTCTCTAGATCATGAAGAGGAGACCAGTGAGGAACAGATTGAAGGAGTGGAGACAGTGGAAGACTTAGGGCAAGGAGAAGCTGAGGTGACACTGTGTGCAGTGATAGGAGGAGAAGGGATGAACACCATCAAGCTTAGAGGAACCATTAATAGACAGTCAATTGTGGTTTTGGTGGATAGTGGGAGTACCAACAGTTTTTTAGATCCCAGGCTACTCAGTCAGTTAAAAATCTCATTGGCAGTGACAGTAGCTAATGGTGACAAGCTTATCTGTGATTCTGTGTGTTATGGCCTTAAATGGACAGTAAATGGAGAAGGATTTGAAAAGGACTTTAGATTGCTAAGGCTGGGAGGCTGTGATATGGTCCTAGGAATGGACTGGATCGACATTTATGCACCAATCCAGTTGCATACTAGACCCCCCAGTATCTCATTCCATAAGGAGGGAAGAAAGGTGTTACTAAAAGGAATGGCAAAAGGAGTGGCTTTGCAACAAGTTACTAAGAAAGAATTGAGGAGGTGGCAGAAGGAAGGAGTGCAAGGTTACATGGTGCAGGGCACCTCTTGTGGAGTTCAAGGGCACCTAACAAGGGATATTCCCCTACCAGAGACTGGTCTTAACCACCAAGAGTTGACAATAATTCTGCAAGAATTCAAAACCCTATTTGATGATCCTAAAACACTACCACCCCACAGAGCTTTTGATCATGAAATTCCATTGGTTCCAGGAGCTAAACCCATAAATGTCAAGCCCTACATGTATTCATATATACAGAAGAACACCATAGAGAAGATGGTGGATGAGATGTTGTCTGCTGGGGTTATTACTGCTAGTACATCTTCCTTTGCCTCACCTGTACTGTTGGTACCAAAGAAAGACAATTCATGGAGATTTTGCATTGACTACAGAGCTCTCAATGAGATAACCATCAAGAACAAATTTCCCATTCCACTAGTTGAAGATTTGTTTTCTGAATTAGCAAATGCCAAGGTCTTTTCCAAATTGGATTTAAGGAGTGGATACCATCAAGTGAGAATGAAGAAAGGGGAGGAACATAAGACTGCTTTTAGAACTCATCAAGGATTATATGAGTTCAGAGTAATGCCCTTTGGGCTTACTAATGCTCCTGCAACTTTCCAAGCTCTCATGAACTTTGTGTTTAAACCATTAATCAGGAAGACAGTGTTAGTATTTTTTGATGATATATTGGTATACAGCTCATCCTTGGAACAGCATTGGAGAGATTTAAGAGAAGTATTGAAGCTTATGAAGGACCACCAGTTACTAGCTAAAATGAGCAAGTGTTCCTTTGTCAAATCAGAAGTGGAATATTTGGGACATATAATATCAGAACATGGGTTGCAAACTGATCCTAATAAGCTGTCTGCTGTGGCTGCTTGGCCCAAACCAACTAACCTTAAGGGGTTGAGGGGATTCCTAGGTCTCACTGGGTATTATAGAAGGTTCATCAAGTCATATGGGATTATAAGCAGGCCCCTTACCAACATGTTGAAGAAGGATGCCTTTCAATGGAATGAAGAATCAGAGAGTGCCTTTGAAGAATTAAAAAGGGCTTTGTGCACTGCTCCAGTATTAACCTTACCTGACTTCAATAAGGAATTTGTTGTTGAGGCTGATGCTTGTTATAAAGGAATGGGGGCAGTTTTGATGCAAGGAGGGAGACCAGTAGCATACTTTAGCAAAGGATTTGGCAATAAACACTTGGGCTTATCAATATATGAAAAAGAGTACCTGTCTATAATCAATGCAGTTGATAAATGGAGAGCTTATTTGCTTGGGAGGCATTTCCTAATCAAGACTGAACATCAAAGCTTGAAGTTCTTGTTAGAACAGAAAATTACAACAGCAATGCAGCAAAAGGGCTTAACCAAGTTATTGGGCTTAAACTATACAATCCAATACAAGAGGGGTGTAGAAAATTGTGTAGCTGATGCACTATCTAGAAGAGATCATAATGAGCAAGCTGAACTATTGGCTATATCATCAGTAAGACCCTTGTGGATGGAGGAAATCATAAAAAGCTATGAGGGAGATGAGCTAGCTTACAAAATTCTGACTGAGAACTTAATTGCTTCTGAAGAAGGGTCACTGTTTGCTGTGACAGAAGGTTTGATTAGGTACAAGGGAAAGCTGTATATTGGAAGTAAGGGGGATTTGAGAGGCAAACTCTTAGCACAAATGCATAATTCCCCTATTGGAGGGCACTCTGGACAGCAAGTTACTTATCATAGACTCAAGCAGTTATTTTATTGGAGAGGCATGAAGAAGGAAGTGAAGGATATGGCCAGTAGCTGTGATGTATGCCAAAGATGTAAAGAGGAAAGTATAGCCTATCCAGGGCTGTTACAACCCTTAAAAATACCTGATCAAGCTTGGAAAAGTATATCAATGGACTTTATTGAAGGGTTGCCCAACTCCCAAGGGAAGGAGGTTATACTAGTAATTGTGGACAGGTTCACTAAGTATAGCCATTTCTTGGCCCTCTCACACCCTTATACTGCTGAAAAGGTAGCTGAATTGTTCATGGAACATATTTATAAACTTCATGGTCTCCCACAGGACATTGTGAGTGATAGGGATAAGGTCTTTTTGAGCAAGTTCTGGCAGTTTTTGTTTAAACAATTACAAGTGAAGCTGAGTATGTCTTCTGCTTACCATCCACAGAGTGATGGACAAACAGAGAGAGTTAACAAGTGTGTGGAAACTTATCTGAGATGTATGGTCTTCCATAGACCCAAGGCTTGGGTTAAATGGTTACATTTGGCAGAACATTGGTACAATACCAATTTTCACACTTCCTTGCAGTGCTCCCCTTTTCAGGCTCTTTATAGTTACCCCCCTCCAGTTTGGAACTTTGACAATGCAGTAGAAGAAGAGGGAAGCATCTGGTTCAAGGAAAGAGCCACCATGGTGGCCCTACTCAAAGAAAACCTCCATAAGGCTCAAGCAAGGATGAAGCAGCAAGCTGATAAGCACAGAAGTGAAAGAAACCTTGAGGTGGGAGATTGGGTGTATCTTAAAATCCAGCCTTACAAACAGGTCACAGTGGCAGTGAGGTCTAACATCAAGTTAACTCCCAGATTTTATGGCCCTTATGAAGTGATTGAGAAAATTGGCAAGGTAGCTTATAAACTGAGACTTCCAAAGGAGGCTGCCATCC